GTACAACAACTTCGGCGAATAAATAGAATGTCAACAAATCCTCATAATAAAAAAAAGATATAAATATTTAATTTTATCACGATATTTTGCTGATCGAAGGCCTGATAATGGCTGTGAGAGTGCGAAGGTAAGCAATTTTTGTTATGGGTACACACATACCTATGGAGCGTAGGTGTATTTACCTCAGAGCCGCAGTTTCATTCTTGGATAGAAACGAGGCTTAAAATCGTACTACAAGCCATGCTGACGGTTTTGACTTCAATTTAGCTTCCATTGTAACGTCTTCTCTTGAGGTCATACCGTCCAAGTCTTATCTCTCGAAAATTAGTTTTTTTCTCCAGACTGCCTTATCCAATGCCTTTCGTACAACAGCAAAATTCTGTCAAATACTGCTGGAAGTATTTCTGTACTTAACTCCTTTAAATCAATCTAGAGTTTAAACTCTGGAAGCCTAGCTAACTCCTCCTCTTCATCATCCTCATCTTCACTGATGCTGCACCTTGGAGACAGTCGACATCCTCTTGCAATGTACTGTGGTAACTTGTTGATAGCTGCTAAAATCAATCCCAGGTAGGGAGGGGACGGTCTGACCGGTCTACTGATGTATTCTGGATGATATTGGACACCAACAAAGTATGGGTGGTCTGAAACAAAAGGAACAGCTCATAACGCCCGAAGAAATTCACAGCAGCAACAATTCTCTCCCTTGGAACAGTCTCACAAAACAGTCTCCCTGAGTCTCAGTTCAGTTTGAATTTTTATCCACACTCAATATAATATTTACATTGATCAGAGAGTAACAGAGAAATAAAATAACAAATAAGAGAAGAAAAGAAAGAATTAAATGGCTCTGAGAGAAGTGTACGGTGGTCAGAGGAGCACAACTTTCGAGCTAAACATCGCTATATTACGGAATCGAAACACGTTTTTTAAACATATGTGTGCTCGGTGCCACTGTAGCTATGAACAGTTATAAGAAACAGTTATTTTACTTTGTTACCTTTGAGTGTTAGTAGAATTCGCTTGCACTGTTTTGTGAACTGGTGGTAGCTGAGTGTTTTTACGCTAGTAGGAATCTCTTCCCGGGTTATGGTTATGGCAAACTCAAATGAGTGTTTGCCACAATTTGATCTTACACGTGGTACATAAAAATTAAGATTTGAGGCATATCTGAATTTAGCCACTATGATAATTTTGCAAAATTTCAGTTATAACGCTGGGATAGTCCACCAAAAGATTCCATGTCAGAGTTCGTACTCTTTTGAGCTCTTCAAATTCCATGATTTATTCCATGAACTTGCCCAGTTTCCATGGCCTAAGGTTTAGTGGTCACTTTCGAAACTTTTCAAAACTACTCTTATTTTGGGGGGATTTTTTTTACCACACTCAGTTCAGCATACAAAATCCGGTGTCCACCAAACGCGTGTCGTTTGCTCTGACTAACTAGTAGTATCTATCTCACTTTGTCCTTGCTTTGACATTGCAGTAACTAATCTACCAAACATAACTTAAAATTTTCCATGATATACCATGACCAACAATCAAATTTCATGATTTTCCAGGCCTGGAAAATCCTTTCCAGGTTTTCCATGACCTGGGCGAACCCTAAACACACACCTTTTAATTCCATGATTTCCATTCTCTCGCCTTCAACGTCTTTTCCAACAAACAGCATGCCATTCTCCTCTAACTGCTTGACATATGTTGGGTTAACCTTTGATTTAACACAAGGAAATTACTCTTTTTGGCCAAAAAGCCCTCGACAAATAAAAGTTACCTTGTGTACCACACTGTAAAAAATACGCACCTTCGTGCCAGTCAGTAACAGGACAGCCGTTATTAGTTGGAGGTAAACAGAAAGCTTGAAATTCCAATTATAACGGTCGCTAGTTAAGTTTGCAAATGGAAACGCTTTAACTGAGCTCAAGGCTTTTAAAGGTTTTTTTTCCCAAGGGTACGTCACTAGAAAGTACTTTGAAGATGTTGCTTTTGACCGACAAAGCAGTCTTAATTGCCTTTCTCTACTTATTCCTTTTTTCTCGGCTCGTTTTGAGAACAAAAATACACAAACTTTCAATAAGAGCCTTCAAGACTATGTCACTGTGTGCCTAAGGTGTAAATTTCGGGACACATAACCGCGAGGTTGAAGCAACATTACTTTTGGTAAAACAGAATGTTTGGGCTACTTGCCAAGTTATACTTAAGGAAAATAAGGGAGTACAACTGCACTTGTCAGACAATATTTAATTTATTTTACAAACAATATAAAAAAGGTGTAGGCCGAAAAAACTTTGCAGTTAATTTTAATGGGACAAGGAGAAAAGTAACAATCTGCCAAAAGCCAGCAACACGATAATGAAAAACCTGAGGTCAAGTTAATGAAATGCTTACAAAACTCGTGTACAAAGGCAACTATTTCAGACTCTGAGGACAATAGCTACACTTGTAATAACGAGCCGAAGTTTTTAAATTCATTGACCAATGATGCGCCTAAGAAAAAAAAGGTGATCAGGATCCTAGACCTAGGAAGGAGTAAAAAAAAACAAAACACATTTCACCGTATAAAGTCTTTTACCTCATATCTGTGTCTGTGTCTCTCTTCGACAAAAGATGCGTTCTTGTAAAGCTTTCCTGTAACAGGAAAAATAACAATTTATTATTATTTTTCTTGTGTACGGCTATATATAGCAGCCTACTTGATGAAAATGTATCACTTGACCAAGGTTTTGGCCTTGTATGGACCACCAAACTTGCTTAAGTCACGGTCACTCTCAAATTGACAGTCTTCCACGATGGATTGAATCGCCTTTTGCGATTTTAGTTTTAACACTTCTTTCGCTTTTGTCAGAAATTCNTATCTATCTCACTTTGTCCTTGCTTTGACATTGCAGTAACTAATCTACCAAACATAACTTAAAATTTTCCATGATATACCATGACCAACAATCAAATTTCATGATTTTCCAGGCCTGGAAAATCCTTTCCAGGTTTTCCATGACCTGGGCGAACCCTAAACACACACCTTTCAATTCCATGATTTCCATTCTCTCGCCTTCAACGTCTTTTCCAACAAACAGCATGCCATTCTCCTCTAACTGCTTGACATATGTTGGGTTAACCTTTGATTTAACACAAGGAAATTACTCTTTTTGGCCAAAAAGCCCTCGACAAATAAAAGTTACCTTGTGTACCACACTGTAAAAAATACGCACCTTCGTGCCAGTCAGTAACAGGACAGCCGTTATTAGTTGGAGGTAAACAGAAAGCTTGAAATTCCAATTATAACGGTCGCTAGTTAAGTTTGCAAATGGAAACGCTTTAACTGAGCTCAAGGCTTTTAAAGGTTTTTTTTCCCAAGGGTACGTCACTAGAAAGTACTTTGAAGATGTTGCTTTTGACCGACAAAGCAGTCTTAATTGCCTTTCTCTACTTATTCCTTTTTTCTCGGCTCGTTTTGAGAACAAAAATACACAAACTTTCAATAAGAGCCTTCAAGACTATGTCACTGTGTGCCTAAGGTGTAAATTTCGGGACACATAACCGCGAGGTTGAAGCAACATTACTTTTGGTAAAACAGAATGTTTGGGCTACTTGCCAAGTTATACTTAAGGAAAATAAGGGAGTACAACTGCACTTGTCAGACAATATTTAATTTATTTTACAAACAATATAAAAAAGGTGTAGGCCGAAAAAACTTTGCAGTTAATTTTAATGGGACAAGGAGAAAAGTAACAATCTGCCAAAAGCCAGCAACACGATAATGAAAAACCTGAGGTCAAGTTAATGAAATGCTTACAAAACTCGTGTACAAAGGCAACTATTTCAGACTCTGAGGACAATAGCTACACTTGTAATAACGAGCCGAAGTTTTTAAATTCATTGACCAATGATGCGCCTAAGAAAAAAAAGGTGATCAGGATCCTAGACCTAGGAAGGAGTAAAAAAAAACAAAACACATTTCACCGTATAAAGTCTTTTACCTCATATCTGTGTCTGTGTCTCTCTTCGACAAAAGATGCGTTCTTGTAAAGCTTTCCTGTAACAGGAAAAATAACAATTTATTATTATTTTTCTTGTGTACGGCTATATATAGCAGCCTACTTGATGAAAATGTATCACTTGACCAAGGTTTTGGCCTTGTATGGACCACCAAACTTGCTTAAGTCACGGTCACTCTCAAATTGACAGTCTTCCACGATGGATTGAATCGCCTTTTGCGATTTTAGTTTTAACACTTCTTTCGCTTTTGTCAGAAATTCCCCAAAACGGCAGTGACTTTTTTAGGTGGTGAAGGCTAGAAAATAGACCTCAACAACACGTGTTAGATCTGCAGGTTCAGGAAATTGAAAAGTATAGGACGGAAGAGGGGCGGAGACGAAACTATTTTGAGACATTCTTTATTGCCGTTATTAATAGCGTTAAAGTAATCTGTTGATACCTTTTTTCATGGCTCCAATTTTGAAAAATTAACAATAATAAATATAACAATGAGTAAATGAATAATTCATTCATTTGATCATTTAAAAGAATTTTCTTCGTTCCAACGGACTTCTAAACATGCTGTACGTGCTAGCATGCAGTCCACCTACTCTTCATAACATTAGTCTTATAGGACTAGGGAGTTTTTTTTAAGTCTTACTTGTTTTACTTTCATGAGTTTCTGAAAACACTGTACGTCGTCTTCCAAGTCTCATTGTTCCTCCCAGCTGGCCTGGGTTGTGTTCAGGCATTTCAATGACCTAAAAACAAAATAAGGTTCATTCTACAAAATGCAGTTTCAGATTAGTTGTCCTTGACCGTGAAAACTGATGACGTCTCCAACTATAGAGGGGACATGGATAGGAACGGGTTGTTACGTGCTATTCAGGGACAAATAACTTTGGGTTAACCCTTTGGCGAATGCCAGAGAGTAGCGAAAAAAAACGCATTGTTCACCAATTCCTCTTTTTTGGACTGGTTTTCGGCCAATTAGCAAGGGAATGACAAAAAATTAGTTTTGCAACAACAAGGACATATTTTCCGACTAATAGGATGTAATGAAGCAGCTTTTTTGTTTTTACGCGCACTCGATCTTTCTTTTTTCCCTTTGCCTTTCTTTTTTATATCCAGTGTTGTTGCCCACTTTATCGTCTTTCTTTTGCATGGAATTGTGGCTGGCTAAACTTTTAGGAAAGAGACAAATTTAATCTGCAAATAGTAGTAGGAAAATAGCGAAATTAGTAATGGATTTTTCCCCAAAATGTTACTTGGCTTTTTATATGTAGCTCCGTCAGTAGAATTTCTAAAACGAAGTATTGTTGGAAACATCTATCTTTAGTGACGTTGCTGCTTACCAACTTAATAGCTCATACTGATGATCCAAGAAGGGAAATATTCATTGTTGCATGTGGAACGAAACGACTAAAGCGGTCCTTAAAGGGTTAAGCTCAACTGAAGGGGGCTCTGTTTGCATGCTTGGTCTCAACAACTATGTTCTATTACATGGTTGATACAGAATTTTTTGGGAAAAAAATCAAGGACTAAAATTATTTTTTCAAGGACTTCTTTTCCCCAATAACATGAAGTAAAGACTTTTAAAATGCGTAGGTGGTACCTTCCTTTAAAAGTCACGGTTCCTAGGGTACTTCAAATAACGGAAAATGAACTATGCCGGAAACACCGAAATCATAAGAAAACACTTTCATGATCACCAAGAAAATGTGTATTGCTGTGCTTTCAATCATTTCTTTGCGCAAAACATTTTACTCTTAACGAAGGTTATTTTTATTAAGGAGCTTTCAAAAATATTCAAGGACTATGGTGGAAAATTCAAGGACGTTTCAAGGACATGATGCTTTTTCAACGACTATTTAAGGCCCGTGCGAACCATGTTATTAATCTGCAATTATTCCTCAAATTATTAATGTCTTTCATCCCCAGAATGGGATGCTAAACCACTGAACACAGGGTTAACCCAGCAGTATATGGCCGGTACCCTTTTATACACCCTGGCGAAAGACAGACAACGTGGAGAAAAGTTTCTTGTCTAAGGAAACAATCTACAAGAAGACCACTTTTGAGTGTGGATGTACAGAGTAGACTGACCGGCTAACTGCTTGGCCACCATACTGCCTTAAACAGTGATGTGCTCTCCTGATGTTGTTTATTCTTGGGTATCAAAATAATTATTAAAATTATCATAACAGGCTTACCACAGGGTAAGTAGTATCAGGTTCATTTTCAGTTGTATTTGCCCCTGGGAACATAAAATGTAAGATGCACATAGCTTTTAGCACAATGCCAGCAATGAGATCGTTGTCTGCTTTATCATTAGTAACAGAAGGTCATGGGCACTAGACTTATTTAAAATGCACATTAAATTTAACAACTATTTTCTTGAAATGCAAGTATTGATATGTACATAACTTACAAAACAATGAGAGAAGTTATTACCTTTCCATCCTAAAACATTTCGAGAGAATTCAATTACAGCTAACTGCATACCATAACAAATTCCTGAAAAACATAGAATTTTATATGATGTTTAACATTCAACATTAACTGGCAAATACAGGCAAGTCTGAATCTGATACCTCAGCTCATAACTCCTTTTCAGGCAGTGTGCAAAGAAAGTGGTGTCCGATAGCCCAGGGCTAGTGGATTTGGCTCTCGGGCTGGAGAATACTGTTATTCATAAACTTGCCTAATGGGCAAGTCAAGTTCAAATAACAGAAGAACAGAAATCAATCCTGCTAATCGATTTTTTCTATTTTTTGTGCTAGTTGAAATGACTTTTGGGCTAGTACATGCTAGCTACAGCAGGCCCAAATGGCAAGCTGTAAAGTGTCTTTCTTTGCACACTGTTTCACGGCTGACATTAATTTTTAAAACAGAAAAATGAAACTTCCTTCTGACAATATTTAAATCCTCAATAAAATAGATCAAAACCAACTTATTTGTTCCTTGGGCATTTTTAATCCAGAGAGTAGCGAAAAAAAACGCATTGTTCACCAATTCCTCTTTTTTGGACTGGTTTTCGGCCAATTAGCAAGGGAATGACAAAAAATTAGTTTTGCAACAACAAGGACATATTTTCCGACTAATAGGATCTGTAATGAAGCAGCTTTTTTGTTTTTACGCGCACTCGATCTTTCTTTTTTATATCCAGTGTTGTTGCCCACTTTATCGTCTTTCTTTTGCATGGAATTGTGGCTGGCTAAACTTTTAGGAAAGAGACAAATTTAATCTGCAAATAGTAGTAGAAAAATAGCGAAATTAGCAATGGATTTTTCCCCAAAATGTTACTTGGTTTTTGTGTGTAACTCTGTCAGCAGAATTTCCAAAACGAGGTATTGTTGGAAACATCGATCTTTGCTGACGTTGCTGCTTACCAACTTAACAGCTCGTACTGACGATCCAAGAAGGAAAATATTCATTGTTGCATGTGGAATGAAAACGACCAAAGCGGTCCTTAAAGGGTCAAGCTCAACTGAAGTGGGCTCTGTTTGCATGCTTGGTCTCAACAACTATGTTCTATTACACGGTTCACACAGAATTTTTTGGGAAAAAATCAAGGACTAAAATATTTTTTCACGGACTTCACTTCCCCAATAACATGAAGTAAAGACTTTTAAAATGCGTAGGTAGTACCTTCCTTCATTAAGGCACGGTTCCTAGGGTACTTCAAATAACGGAAAATGAACTATGCCGGGAACACCGAAATCATAGGAAAAAACTTTCATGATCACCAAGAAAATGTGTATTGCTGTGCTTTCAATCATTTCTTTGCGCAAAACATTTTATTTTTAGCGAAGGTTATTTTTATTAAGGAGCTTTCAAAAATATTCAAGGACTATGGTGGAAAATTCAAGGACGTTTCAAGGACATGATGCTTTTTCAAGGACTATTTAAGGCCCGTGCAAACCATGTTATTAATCTGCTATTATTCCTCAAATTACTAATATCTTTCATCCCCAGAATGGGATGCTAAACCAACACAGGGTTAATCCAGCAGTATATGGCTGGTACCCTTTTATACACCTTGGCGAAAGACAGACAACGTGGAGAAAAGTTTCTTGTTTAAGGAAACAATCTACAAGAAGACCACTTTTGAGTGTGGATGTACAGAGTAGACTGACATGTTAACTGCTTGGCCACCATACTGCCTCAAACAGTTATGTGCTCTCCTGATGCTGTTTACTCTTGGGTATCAAAATAATTATTAAAATAATCATAACAGGCTTACCACAGGGTAAGTAGTATCAGGTTCATTTTCAGTTGTATTTGCCCCTGGGAACATAAAATGTAAGATGCACATAGCTTTTAGCACAATGCAAGCAATGAGATCGTTGTCTGCTTTATTTTGTAATTTCAGAAACTGTCGAATGGAATATGATGTTTTCCATAAAAGTGATTCTTATTCTGTGTAATGGTTATCATGAGTTCTTCTACCTTCCAGCAGTCAAATCTTAGTTAGCAAACTTGTTATTGGAATGATCCATTGTTGAGTGGTTAAAGAGTGTGCATAATAATAGATAACATCAGTAGCAAAAGGTCATGGGCACTAGACTTATTTAAAATGCACATTAAATTTAACAACTATTTTCTTGAAATGCAAGTATTGATATTACAAAACTTACAAAACAATGAGAGAAGTTATTACCTTTCCATCCTAAAACATTTCGAGAGAATTCAATTACAGCTAACTGCATACCATAACAAATTCCTGAAAAACATAGAATTTTATGTGATGTTTAACATTTAACATTAACTGGCAAATACAGGCAAGTCTGAATCTGATACCCCAGCTCATAACTCCTTTTCAGGCAGTGTGCAAAGAAAGTGGTGTCCGATAGCCCAGGGCTAGTGGATTTGGCTCTCGGGCTGGAGAATACTATTATTCATAAACTTGCCTAATGGGCAAGTCAAGTTCAAATAACAGAAGAACAGAAATCAATCCTGCTCATCGATTTTTTCTATTTTTTGTGCTAGTTGAAATGACTTTTGGGCTAGTACATGCTAGCTACAGCAGGCCCAAATGGCAAGCTGTAAAGTATCTTTCTTTGCACACTGTTTCACGGCTGACATTAATTTTTAAAACAGAAAAATGAAACTTCCTTCTGACAATATTTAAATCCTCAATAAAATAGATCAAAACCAACTTATTTGTTCCTTGGGCATTTTTAACCCATTAAGCCCTAAGAGTGATCAGCATCAAATTTCTCCTTGTCGTATCATTGCTTGGTAAAACAGAGTGGTCATGAGAACTATGTTCATGATCACACAAGATGAATTTGCTTGATATTTTATCAATTCCCACCTCTTTTGTAGGAAATGAATGGGGACAACCAATGAGAATTCAAATTTGGATCTTAAGGTTTAAAGAGTTAAATCCTTTATTAAGGCTCCGTTCAGAAGCTATACTTCACGAGCCAAATCAAATTAGAATTTAGGCTGACTTAAATCAATTTCGGCTGACTAAACTGATTCAGACACCAAACTTTATTGCACAATTACTTGGAAATAGATGGCATTGTGCCTCAGAAAGGAAAAAATCGATTGGCTTTTAACTGGTATTTCTACTGCTGATTTTCAAATTAACGTTGGGTTGTTTCAGCTTGTCTAGTCGTTTATTTCACTATCAAATCGTTTCTGTTAGTTGCTGTGTGTGTTTGTGCTTTTTATATTTATTTTTGTTTTTCTTTTTAACCTTTCCCCTTTTGAGTGTGTGTTTGATTGTAACGTGTATTTGTATTTTTGAAATATTCAATGTAAACAGCATAAGCTCTCTAGATAGGCCTTTTAGGATCTTAGTGCAAATGTTGTAATAAATATTGTTTATTTAAAACAAACGTTATTCTACCAGAACTAAATCTAACGGAAAACACGTGCATTTCTGTAAACTAAATCATAAAAATTATTCATGTTGTTTCACTCATGTGAAGTTCTGCATCTGAATAAAGACAGGTCCACAGCCATTATTCCTGGCTTAGCCAGGCTTATAGAATGGCTAAGCCAATCCAATACACATTTAATAGGCCATTCTGAACTGCTTCAGATGCAGTACTATTTGATTCATCTAATGTGAAGTACAGCACCTGGTTTAAAAGATCAATTTCTAGTGTAGTTGAGAAAATTTTGTATTAAAGTATGTTATGTTGCCTTACAATACAAATAATGATAATATACTATTCCAAAGGGAAAGGTCTACCTAAATAAGGTTTTTTCATCTTTCTTCCCCATTCAGCAGCAGCCATTTTTCCTTCTGCTCCCCTTTTTCCAAATCCTCCAGGTACTAAAATGCCACTGCAATAATTACAAACAAAGAATTTAAGTTAACCAAAATGGCTTGATAGTGCACTCTACAGAAAGTCAGGGCTGTCATTAAGTTTTTAAGCAGTTGTAGCAATGAAGATTCACCCGTAACACAAAAATTTAGGGTCACCTTTTGCTTTCCACTTTGATCACCCGTAACATCAAGTTAACCTGAGATCAGGCTCTATTTTTGTTTCGCTTTGTAAATAACATTTTGGCGGGCATGGCGAAACGAAAAGAGAGCCTGATACAAACCTTCTACGAAACGTCTGCTGCCCACTTTTTTGATTGATTGACATTTGCCGAATCAGACAACCAAAATTACTTCTGTTGCTTGTTTTTCTAGTATGCAAATTTTTCACGCGCGAGAAAAATGCAGACTGGCTGACTTAAAAAATAGCTTTTATCTGTTAATTTTTTCAGCTAAAAGTGAAACAGTCAGGACAATCACATTTAACTTCTTGAGAGATTAAGGGAGATGTCAAAGGTTATTTCTGTTGGCGTAGAAGGTAAAAAGTTTTCGAAAAGACGGCGACACGATGTTCTACTAGTTTTATTATTTTGGCTAGGCCCGCTCGAATTTAAAATACTGAAATTTCTATTTTTCCGTTGCCTTAATATTTTCCTTGGCAATTTCTCCCAACTTCAGTACATAAATCTTTAAAAACAAAAGCAAACAGCCAATGGGCGAGGACACCAGTTTTCCTGGTTTATTTTTTACAAAAAGCAAAGGCAAACAACCGGTCTGTTAACACTGAAAATTTCTTGAACAGCGATGCGATATTTTTCATCTAATACTACACAGTTGGCGATTGAGGTTTCTTTCACAGTGAGCCTCTGCTTGCTTACCCCGTTCAGAGAAGTCACTCCCGGCTAAACTTTCAAATGAAAGCAGTTTTAAGATGGACAGTATTTTGATTTGCACCCATTTCTTGGTAAATCAAAAGGCACCTTGTTAGCGGTCAAAACTTGCAGAGGGATTCAACTCCGCGATACACTCACTTTCCGTAAATAAAGCAAATCCTGAGAAGATTTGAACAACCATATGAATTTTCTGAATTTCCGGCCTATTTTAAGGCATATTTTCCCACCATAAAACAATGAAAAAGACAGCAAAATTGATCCTTCCCTCTGCCGACGACGGATCATTCACGAAAACAACCATGCGAGGAATAAGCGCTTTCAACTTCCGGCGTTTCCGACAGCCAATCAGATCGTGTGACATTGTCCTAACAGCCAATCAGTGTTACTGCCAAAATCTGGCCATAACGAGCACAAAAGTGAATGAGTTTGGATCAGGCCCAATTTTAGCGGTAGCTGTCAGAGAGAATGTATGAGAACTGCTCAAATTGGGCCTGATCTCAGGTTACATCAAGTGAGCTTTGACATAACAGGTGTTACAGGTTACAGCCATTAATGACAGCTCTAAAGGGTCACTTTTTGTACATGTACCGCTCTAGATTTACAAGGAGAACAGAGCCTTGTTTTAAGTAAACTAGTTCTTACTCGCAGCTACACAATTTTTGCCATGCTTCATGATACTTTACGGGATCTCTTTCTTGTACGTCCTTCTCAAGATTTTCAGCCTCTACCCACTGCAAGTTAGAAATAAAAAAATAATACTCTCCCGTATGCTGAGGGATGTTAGAATTTGCTGTAACAAACATTTAAGACAGTGTTAAAGTTGTATCATTACATGTACATGTTACTAGGCAGTTATATAAGCATACTTTGTACCAATAAGCATCTTTCTGAACAAAATTGTATTAGAGTGTCTTTTTTCAAAGGAACCTTACCACAACATTCAGCCGTTTATTACAGTGAAGGGATGCATGCTTTAAAGCTTTAAGAACAGATATGTAAGCATCCTNCGCTTTCAACTTCCGGCGTTTCCGACAGCCAATCAGATCGTGTGACATTGTCCTAACAGCCAATCAGTGTTACTGCCAAAATCTGGCCATAACGAGCACAAAAGTGAATGAGTTTGGATCAGGCCCAATTTTAGCGGTAGCTGTCAGAGAGAATGTATGAGAACTGCTCAAATTGGGCCTGATCTCAGGTTACATCAAGTGAGCTTTGACATAACAGGTGTTACAGGTTACAGCCATTAATGACAGCTCTAAAGGGTCACTTTTTGTACATGTACCGCTCTAGATTTACAAGGAGAACAGAGCCTTGTTTTAAGTAAACTAGTTCTTACTCGCAGCTACACAATTTTTGCCATGCTTCATGATACTTTACGGGATCTCTTTCTTGTACGTCCTTCTCAAGATTTTCAGCCTCTACCCACTGCAAGTTAGAAATAAAAAAATAATACTCTCCCGTATGCTGAGGGATGTTAGAATTTGCTGTAACAAACATTTAAGACAGTGTTAAAGTTGTATCATTACATGTACATGTTACTAGGCAGTTATATAAGCATACTTTGTACCAATAAGCATCTTTCTGAACAAAATTGTATTAGAGTGTCTTTTTTCAAAGGAACCTTACCACAACATTCAGCCGTTTATTACAGTGAAGGGATGCATGCTTTAAAGCTTTAAGAACAGATATGTAAGCATCCTCCAGCTTGGTGTACTTGCCAACAAGAGCAATCTTCACTTCATCTAGAAGACGCTCTTCCCTAAAAAATAATAAACAACCACACAAACAAATAAGAACAACAACAACAACAAAGAACATTCATAAAGGCTTGTAGGTCAAAAAAGGTTTCACACAGGGCTTAAAGAAACTTGAAATCCAGTTTATAAGAAGGTCCCACATTTTGCTTGCCTGGGGCCATTGCTTGCTCATCTTAGTTAATTGCGGGTGACAAGTGGAGCCTACAACCCTAATCTCCAGGTTGTTATTAAGCATGCCTCGCATTTATGTAGCCAGCATTTATTTGGACTTCCACTAAGAATGAATGGAATGCACAGAATGCAATTTGATCATGCGTGGTTGGACCTTCTATCACTGGTAATCTGATCACGCATGTTTTGACTATCTGTCACGTGAAACTTATGCAAAGCACAGCAATGGAGAAAAAGTGTTACGCAGATTACGACTGTTGTCGCCCACACTCCGTAACCTTTGATTATTACAAGTAATAACAATATTATTTTAGTTATAAGATGACTTGGCTGGACTGTTGTCCATAGGGCAAAGTAAACTTAATAAAATAAATGCTAAGTAAGAAAAATATAGTGAAAGGTTTGAACCCAGGAGTCATTTCAAAAGTAGGTTGAGTTTGATCGTCCGGGTGAATGTAGTCCTGAATAGGACTGTCGTTGTTGACAGTGACTGACGTTTCGACAACCTGTGTGGTAGTCATCTTCAGAGCCAAAGTGAGTTGTATCACGTCAGTTGATGGTATTATACTCTGGTTATTGATCTGATTGGTCAATTACGTTGCGGTGTTATTGGTTGTCTGTCAGTTAAGCCGTGATGTTATTGGCTATGAAGACTCGTAATCAGTAATTGGTGCGTTTTAATCCGTCTATTGTCACAGTTAAAGAGTCGTCTATTGTTAGTTAAATTGTCAGTTCTTTAGTCGTTCTCTCGTAGTTAGTTATGCTTGATCTTGTCAATAAGTCATTTGTACGGTGCTGGTAACTGTTGGCTACGATTCAGTGGAATGGACTTTTTGGATTTTTGATTTTCTCCTAGGTACCAATAAAATTAATTGTTTCTTCTCTTTTTCTTTTTTCAACACTATTTGACATGACAGTGAAGAGCTATCAAAGATTTGTAGTCTTGAAGCACACCTCTCTGCCAGTTCTTTCCACTGAACCATGAAATGCCTTGGTTTTCGCGGTGACTTGACTTCCATCTGGAGTCTCTTGGCAAAAAGTGGTACAATGTTCTGGTTTGCCAGCAACAATGGTACTCTGTATATAGACTTGCAATCATGGACATCAATTACCTGCAACACACATGCCAAATACAGCTCAGACTTGCAAGGTTGTCATCGACTTTGAAGATGGAAAATGTCTAGGGCCCAAGCCGACATGGGCTTGAGACAATGGCATAAGAAAAATGAAATAGTGAAAACTGACAAAAGGATTGTTGATTGAAACTGCGATGTTACTCAAAAAAGTAAAAATGAAACGGAAAAATAGCAGCTATGACATGACTTCCTCCTGAATAAGCTGATGTAAGAGACAACAGGCATGAAAAAAAAACTTTTCATGAAAGGTTACTATGTTATCTCACCAGAATTTTAAAAGCAACTTCTGATTCTATGACAGTCTTAAGACCTGCGCAAGCTAATGCTTTCAGTCCAGCACACTTGAATTCCAAAAAAAAACTGATTGCAAAATTTTGGCAACAGCATACAGTTGCATTTATTTTTGACCTCACTGTTTCCCCCACTCCCCCATAACTGCTCCACTGGTAAGTGGAAAATTCATGAATTGGTGACCCTAAATCGGTGCCACCAGGCTCCTTCTAGTTAATATGGTAATCAAAATTAATTGAATTAATAATATTAAATGTTGGTGCTTATGGAGGGAGGAACACCACAGAACCTGGAGAAACCCTCAGAGAAGGTCCGAGACAAATTAAACTCAACTCACAAGACTGACAGCCAAACAAACAATGTTTATTTAAATAGATGAATGGTACGCAGCAGCATACTGGTCCAACCACCAGTCCACTCCACCATTCCTGCTCTCTCAACATTTATTAATTTCTTACCTGCTCTGGGGGAACATGGCAAAACAAAGACACCTTTTCCTTGACAGAAGTTGTAACAGGATGCTTGCATCTACACATAATCTGCAATTTTGATTTAATAGTGATCAGATCCAACACACTGACAACCTTTCCTGAAGGCCACTCACTCAGGTGATCATGATAGTCTCAAGCATATAAAACTCATTTTCACAGGTAAGGTTTTGTGCCTAGCCTCATTTTGAAAATGAGAGTTTTTGGCACTTGGTTAGGTCAAAAAAGGTTTCACACAGGGCTTAAAGAAACTTGAAATCCAGTTTATAAGAAGGTCCCACATTTTGCTTGCCTGGGGCCATTGCTTGCTCATCTTAGTTAACCCTTTAAGCCCCAATATCCACATACAAATTCTCCAAACTGATCTCCATACATTTCCTTCATGAACGAGTTGAGAGAATTTGATAAAAGATCAGCGCATTTTCCCTAAGGTGATCATTTTATTAATTCTCATAACCTAATTGCTTGATATTGTATTGATATCGTTAGGAGAAAATTGACATTAGTCACTATTGGGACTTAGAGGGTTGATTGGGGGTGACAAGTGGAGCCCACAATGCTAATCTCCAGGTTGTTATTACGCATGCCTCGCATTTATGTAGCCAGCATTTATTTGGACTTTCACTAAGAATGAATGGAATGCACCGAATGCAATTTGATCACGCGTAGTTGGACCTTCTATCACTGGTAACCTCATCACGCATGTTTTGACTATCTGTCACGTGAAACTTACGCAAAGCACAGCAATGGAGAAAAAGTGTTACGCAGGTTACGACTGTTGTCGCCCACACTCCGTAACCTTTGGTTATTACAAGTAATAACAATGTTATTTGAGTTATAAGATGACTTGGCTGGACTGTTGTCCATTGGGCAAAGTAAGCTTCATAAAATAAATGCCCAGCAAGAAAAATATAGTGAAAGGTTTGAACCCAGGAGTCATTTCAAAAGTAGGTTGAGTTTGATCGTCCGGGTGAACGTAGTCCTGAATAAGACTGTTGTTGTTGACAGTGACTGACGTTTCGACAACCTGTGTGGTAGTAATCTTCAGAGTCAAAGTGAGTTGTATCACGTCAGTTGATGGTATTATACTCTGGTTATTGATCTGATTGGTCAATTACGTTGCGGTGTTATTGGTTGTCTGTCAGTTAAGCCGTGATGTTATTGGCTATGAAGACTCATAATCAGCAATTGGTGCATTTCCATCCGTCTATTTTCACAGTTAAACAGTCGTCTATTGTTAGTCAAATTGTCAGTTCTCCAGTCGTTCTCTTGTAGTTAGTTATGCTTGATCTTGTCAATAAGTCTTTTGTACGGCGCTGGCAACTGTTGGCCACGATACAGTGGAATGTCCTGAACGGGACTTTTTGGAGCCCTGTGAACTGAATGTTTAACCTTTCATTTTCTCCTAGGTACCAATAAATTGTTTCTTCTTTTTTTCTTTTTTCAACACTATGCTTAATTCCTGTAAAATTAATAATGACAACAGAATTTGACATGACAGTGAAGAGCTATCAAAGATTTGTAGTCTTGAAGCACACCTCTCTGCCAGTTCTTTCCACTGCACCATGAAATGCCTTGGTTTTTTTGGTGACTTGATTTCCATCTGGAGTCTATTGGCAAAAAATGGTACAATGTTCTGGTTTGCCAACAACAATGGTACTCTGTATATAGACTTGCAATCATGGACATCAATTACCTGCAACACACATGCCAAATACAGCTCAGACTTGCAAGGTTGTCAATGACTTTGAAGATGGAAAATGTCTAGGGCCCAGGCCGACACGGACTTGAGACAGTGGCATAAGACAAATGAAATAGTGAAAACTGACAAAAGGATGGTTGATTGAAACTGTGATATTACTCAAAAAAGCAAAAATGAAATGGAAAAATAGCAGCCATGACATGACTTCCTCCTGAATAAGCTGATGTAAAAAATGGACACAAGACAACAGGCATGAAAAAAAACTTTTCATGAAAGGTTGCTATGTTATCTCACCAGAATTTTAAAAACAACTTCTGATTCTATGAGAGTCTTAAGACCTGCGCAAGCTAATGCATACAGCTGCATTTATTTTTGACCTCACTGTTTCCCCCACTCCCCCATAACTGCTCCACTGGTAAGTGGAAAATTCATGAATTGGTTACTCAAAATCAGTGCCACTAGGCTCTTTCTAGTTAATATGGTAATCAAAATTAATTGAATTAATGATATTAAATGTTGGTGCTTATGGAGGGAGGAACACCACAGAACCTGGAGAAACCCTCAGAGAAGGTCCGAGACAAATTAAACTCAACTCACAAGACTGACAGCCAAACTAACAATGCTTATTTAAATAGATGAATGGTACGCAGCAGCAGACTGGTCCAACCACCAGTTCACTCCACCATTCCTGCTCTCTCAACATTAATTTCTTACCTGCTCTGGGGGAACATGACAAAACAAAGACACCTTTTCCTTGACAGAAGTTGTAACAGGATGCTTGCATCTACACATAATCTGCAATTTTGATTTAATAGTGATCAGATCCGACACACTGACAACCTTTCCTGAAGGCCACTCACTCAGGTGATCATGATAGTCTCAAGCATATAAAACTCATTTTCACAGGTAAGGTTTTGTGCCTAGCCTCATTTTGAAAATGAGAGTTTTTGGCACTTGGNTGCTTATGGAGGGAGGAACACCACAGAACCTGGAGAAACCCTCAGAGAAGGTCCGAGACAAATTAAACTCAACTCACAAGACTGACAGCCAAACAAACAATGTTTATTTAAATAGATGAATGGTACGCAGCAGCATACTGGTCCAACCACCAGTCCACTCCACCATTCCTGCTCTCTCAACATTTATTAATTTCTTACCTGCTCTGGGGGAACATGGCAAAACAAAGACACCTTTTCCTTGACAGAAGTTGTAACAGGATGCTTGCATCTACACATAATCTGCAATTTTGATTTAATAGTGATCAGATCCAACACACTGACAACCTTTCCTGAAGGCCACTCACTCAGGTGATCATGATAGTCTCAAGCATATAAAACTCATTTTCACAGGTAAGGTTTTGTGCCTAGCCTCATTTTGAAAATGAGAGTTTTTGGCACTTGGAAATGGCCCACTCTCTCACTGGCTAATTGCACATTCCCACAAAATTGAAATCTTAGTGACAACCCCAGGGTTTTCTAATAAGGTTTTAAGTAGGTGGCAAAAGCTTTGGAGTAGGCAGAGATGGAAAAAACTCGCCTCAAAAGCGCAAGTTTCTAAGAGATCTTAGAAATGCATTTCCAGCATTCTGGAGCAAAAATTAGAGCTTTTTTTTATTTTAACAAAACACAGACATCATTAAAATTTGGCCTTTTCCGTTCAGCGACAGCCCATGAATTCTCTCTTTTGAAATTTCTTTCTTCTTGCCAGTAGCTATGAATCATTGGTTGGTTCAGTATCTGTTTTAATCATGTTATTTGTAAAAACTGGGGTAATTAATTTTCCTAAGAAATGTATATGGCCGATTCACGTGAAACAGCCTGCGGTGATGCCAGCAGCCGCCTCTTATTGAAAACCCTGCAGTCCTGCCCAAACTACATGACAGAAAAATCAAAGGCAAAAAAGTATCTCACCAGGTCTGGACTTAATCCCAAACCACGCATTTCTCTAACACTGTTCTGTGTTGGCTTTGTTTTCTGTTCTCCAGTTGAGTCAGGCTGAAAAATGTTGCTAGAACTTCAGCTAAATTTACATATTGATACATGCACACAGCACAAATAAAGTTAATCCTCTTAAGGCAAGAAATGTAGGGCTTGTTTCAAATCTGTGACATGAATACCTTTATTGTTTAATCTTGTTTTCAGTCTCAGAAGTAAATGGATTATAGCATTTTTGTAACATACAATCTCATCCTCAACAACACACAAAAGGGCTGTCCAATGACTCCATAAATTTCTCTTGACCCCGGTGCTCTCTTTTTGTTACTGCACAGTTTACTTTATTATTCCCATCATAACAAGATCAAAGAAACTCATATTTTAAAAGGGACTGTGGCAAGTAATGTCTGTTTAGCCAAAACTGAATTTGCAGGTACACTAATTTACAACTCGTATGAGCAATAAGCTCTTGAACAATTTTTCAAATTATTTTGCGATATAACGGGCCATACCTCAGGTATCAAACTGACATGCACCACACAGAAGTTGTCTTTTCCAACTCGGAACTGAAACTGTCGAAAAGCCTCAATGTATGGCATTCCCTCGATATCACCAACTGTACCTCCAAGCTGAGGAGAAAAATCAAATGGAATATCATTAAAATTTGGTAACACTGTTATTACTGTGGTAAATTGAAGGCTAAATTTGTACAGTGTACATTTGAAGTAATGGATCATTATACAGGCAGATTACCATACTGTGAGACACCAAAAGCAAGATGACTAGTATATATAATTATTCTAATACAGTTAACCCTCTCCACAATGGCCACCTTAGGGTCAGAAGAAAGTGGCTGTTGTAGAGAGGTGGCCATTCTAAAGAGGTTTAAACAAGAGTCAATGTATAGACTGCCCACCAAAAAGGGAGATGTACATGTAACAGTAGAGAGGCAGCTGTTAGCAGAGGTTCAACTATAGCTATTCCAATTAAAATACATGATTTCAGCATAATCTAATCCCTGGGATATTTTCAATGAGCCTAGATCACCCTTTAATGAAAGCTGGAATACTCTTCACTCTGGCTCAGCAAAGAAAGCAGTGTCCGATAGCCCGGGGCTAGTGAATTCTGTTCTTAACTTGCCCAACAGGCAAGTGAAGTTTTTTGAGGACTTCAAATTACAGAAGAACTGTGAAATCAATTCTGCTCATCAAAACGTTTTTGGGGCTAGTTGAAATGATGTCTGGGATAGTAAATGTTAGCTTCAGCTTGCCCAAATGGCAAGCTGTAAAAATGACTTTCTTTGCACCCTGTGACAGGAGAATGACAATGTCAAAGATGTAAATAATGCTTTTTTCCTGTTCACTCACCTCAATAATACACACATCAGCATTGGTGTCCTTTTCAACTGGCTCACCTGAAACTCTTGTCACCCAGTCTTGAATGGCATCTGTTATGTGAGGAACCACTACANCTGCTCATCAAAACGTTTTTGGGGCTAGTTGAAATGATGTCTGGGATAGTAAATGTTAGCTTCAGCTTGCCCAAATGGCAAGCTGTAAAAATGACTTTCTTTGCACCCTGTGACAGGAGAATGACAATGTCAAAGATGTAAATAATGCTTTTTTCCTGTTCACTCACCTCAATAATACACACATCAGCATTGGTGTCCTTTTCAACTGGCTCACCTGAAACTCTTGTCACCCAGTCTTGAATGGCATCTGTTATGTGAGGAACCACTACAAAAAAGAAAAAAGCACTTGCCTGTAGTGGGTTCATACCCTCGCACTTCCAAACATTGAACATATAGCTCGGAAGGTCTGAAAATTTTATGTCACTGATTATTTCTGTCTCCAGGCCTTACATGCACTTTGAATTAAATTGGGCAATTCCAGAAAATACCCTTATCATACCAAGGACGGCTTTTCAGAATTCCGAGGGCAAGGGGCCAATCTTTGAACTGGAAATCTGAAGGCATGGGGTCTTTAGATCCAGAAATTCCACAGGGGACAGACAAGAGTGAATTCCTTGAAAACGCTTATAAAGCTTGAACTGATGACATTGTTGACGACCTCAGCAGCAGGATACAAGACAAGCATCCATCAATCAGTGATGTTTTTGTGTTCATTTGTAGAAGAAAACCAACAAATTGTGGGTTGGCATCAAGCTCCAGAGGCCTTAATGCTACAAAACATCCTTTTTCTCTTGATGAAACAGCCGCATAAATTATTTTGCCCATTCAATGCGAAACATGGTCTTTTGACCGAAGACGCCATTTTAATTTTTGAAGTTCATGTGATTGGGAGTGACTGCTGACCCCGAAGTCTAAAATTCAAGATGGTGGAAATGAAAATACAATTGATTGTATCAATCTTCCAAGTGTACACACGTTACCAATTAAGTTAAAGTAGTTTGCACCTGTTGACAGCAGTAAAGCCATTTGAAATATTTTGGCATAAAATAAGCCAAATTAGGCATATCTGTGAACCTTGCCAGTAATTCCAGAGGGTTTTACAAAAAAACGGAAAATCTGAATGGGTGGGAAATTAAGGATTATGGAATTATGAGGGCATGGGGGAATAGACCAAGGGAAGGGGATGACAAAGAGAACACAAAAGAAATATAAGTGCAACAAAAAAGCATGGGTAAAGAAACTCTTTTAACTATTTTTGTCTACAGACTGGTAGGCTTTTTACCTATAGATTTAGGAAAATGTAATACAGTAGGTTGTGTTCATTTGCATATATGTAATGGTTTGAGTTTAATTCTTCTTAATCTTTATTCCAAACTTATTATCATACATGACCATACCCACAAACAAAGCAAAAATAAAATCTAAACCAAGGATAAAATTAAACAACAATATAAACATCTACTCATACATGAGAATTGCAACTCAATAACAAGAAAAGTAAATAATAACAACAATAGTCCAGTTTTGAGTTCGCTATGATCACTGAATGAAAAGAAGTGAAGACGCATTTTTACAGGCTTAGCCTCCATCTGAAGTAATATATTCACAAATTCCAACAAGAAAAAGACCTGTTTATTACTCTGTCTATTGTGTACGTTCAAATTGCAAACACTTACACTGTATTTGCCGGAATTTCTGCATCTTTTACTTTACGTCGAGGCTAACCATGTATGAATGTGTCGTTAATGTTTGTATTCCGCAGTAATTTATAATTCGCAAACTGGACTATTGTTGGCTTCAAAAGGTTGCTTGAATTCTTATCCTTTTATAAATCACAAGGATGATGGGGAAAAAAGGAAAGAAAAGAAAGAATAATTACCTTGGACTGTTTTACCCAAGTAGTCCCCACGTCTCTCCTTATCAATCACACTCTGGTATATTTTGCCAGTTGTGATGTTGTTATCGCGGTGAAGGGTAACATCAAGGAATCGCTCATAATTACCCAGGTCCAAGTCTACTTCTCCACCGTCATCCAAAACAAACACTTCACCTACAACATTTGGTCAAGAATGATGGTTATTATTACACTCCTACATGTACCTACACATGGCCACAAAACAGAAAAACATGACCACAATTTGGTACCAAACATTGCACATTATGTGATTTTAAGCAATTTTCAGCATACTAATAATAATCATGGTAATGAAAAGATGGGAAACAAACAGAGATTGCGCCAGTTATGGGAGAAAAGATGTGCAATGGTTGCTAAAAGAGTTTTAGCACTGACGATGGGTATAACATCTTTTTCTTGTGCTGGTAGCTGTAATAAAAAATAGATCATTAAACATGTATCAACAACAACCACAACCCCAACTAATTCCAGCAAATATGGTCAATTGGGTAATTCAACAGTTAACATACAGTTTAGTAGTACAAAACAACAAAAGGCATTTAAAAAACAAGTAAAATGTACAGATTCACAAGATTAACTTAAAAAGTCACATTGCGTAGCAGAAATGTACAAGGAGGTCCACTTTTTTCTGTATTATTTTGGTGTGGTCTGTTTTTCATTGCAATCTTCAATCACAAGTATTGAATTTTTTTAAGTAAAATGAGCCAAATATATTCACTACTTCTACCGTGGAAGCCTAAATGAAGAAAAGGCAATCTGCACAAATTGGTACAAACTATGTGGGTCAGTTCATTAAAAGTGGAAAATAACTAACTCATTTTAGTAAAGTTCTGATACTGCTGGAAATCACCTTCATGCTACTAATAACACCACCAATCACAAAAATGTACATGCACTTCATCTTTGATTATTCAACAAGGTCTTTCAAATGAGCATCCACACAGGTTGTAAAAACAAGAAATAAACTCTTAAATGAAGGAATATTTTTCAACATCACCAGGAGTGCTTTGCTCTCTCTAAGAGGAGCAGCACTGCCCAATTTTTTGCACGTGTTGTTTCCTATGTGAATTTGGCACTCCTCATAAGATCAATACTCAGCAAAGTGACCATTTTCACAAAGGCAATAATGCACGTTGTTTACACCCCAAAATTTTCCGTAACTATTGTATCCAATTTCTCCTGGGTACTACAGTCGTCCCAAGAGAAATTGAAGACAATGGTCATGAAAAATTTAGGGGTGTAAACAAGGTGCATTATGGTCTCGGTTAAAATGGTGAATGAAAAAGGANCACTGCCCAATTTTTTGCACGTGTTGTTTCCTATGTGAATTTGGCACTCCTCATAAGATCAATACTCAGCAAAGTGACCATTTTCACAAAGGCAATAATGCACGTTGTTTACACCCCAAAATTTTCCGTAACTATTGTATCCAATTTCTCCTGGGTACTACAGTCGTCCCAAGAGAAATTGAAGACAATGGTCATGAAAAATTTAGGGGTGTAAACAAGGTGCATTATGGTCTCGGTTAAAATGGTGAATGAAAAAGGAGAAGGCAAGCAATATTAATGAGCAAAGGAGAAAATAAGAAGTTAAACAAATTAGAGAGAAATTAATATTCTGTTGGCACTTTATACCTGAAGCATGAGATTTCTAGCATTCTATGTAAGTTTGGTCTTTTTGATAGCTTCTTCTTGTTTCACAAAGTTTTTTTTTGATAGCTTATATTGTCAAGTATTCAGGCTTATATCTTTTGGAATATTACTCATCTTATGTTGGTATTATAATACTGATGCATCCTTTTGAAATTACTTTCAAGTCCAACAGATATCTGTCTACAGGTGTTAGTCCAGTGGAAAGGAATCTCAGGGTGAATTTTTTTGGAGAATCCAAAAACAGATTTGTGATCTCTGATCATACGGATTCTTCACTACCAAAAAAACAGAAGATCCGAAAAAGGCTCATTTACCATGACAACAGCATGTCCTCGTACACCTCGTGGGAAAAAAAAACAACAAACTGATCCTCACGGCAAAGACAAGAAGAAAAAGCAACATAAGCTAGGATGAATATATGAAATGTATATATTTTGGTTTGATATACAAACATTTTTCGAATAGAATACACTCCTTAGGATAGTAAAATTATAAGAATTTAAAACTGAAGCTGATGAATTGTTTTTTTCTTAAATAACTTGGAAAATAAACCGGCGTAAGCAGACACTACATACATACAAAAAACATGACAAGTAAGGGTTTAAAAACAGTCTATCAATAATTTGAATAGATGACAAACATGGAATGACATGTAAATAATGGCTCAAAATTGATGAGGCCCCACTACATGGGTTCAGTTAGAAGTCATACATGTACCACATCAAGTTGCGTACCATTCTTTTTTTTTTTTTCGAAAAACCGCTTGTCAAAGATACTTTTTTTTAAAAATTTCCGAAAAAAAGCTCGGATTGTGAATCTCAAAAATCTGGATTTGGATTTGATCCGAAAAATCCACCCTGAGTGTGGATTTTATGGATTCATGGTCCAGATTTGGATTTTCCCCCAAAAAACATACCCTCAGCCAGTTCTTCAGGGCCCAGTCAGCTTGGTGAGACAACTGGAGTGCAAATCTATTTTCTTAAAGGTGACATTAAACAAACACCTACAAGAGTGATATTCAGCTGACTAGCATGGAAATTTTTGGAAAGAGTAAACTGAATGAGTTAACCGTTTATTATTATCTCTAATGACCAAGCCTACAGTAGCACTGGTAATCCACCAAAATAGCACAAAAAATCGTGGTCATTTTGGAAAAGCTGAAACAAAATCTCACAGAGAATTACTTCTATCTATAACAAAAATTTTCTGTTGGAAGGAGACATTTAATTTTTATTCCCACCAGAAAAAAAACAGTTTTTTTTCCACGCAAATGATAAATGTACAGCATTTTTGCGTGCCACGGAACCAAATGCCATTGTCCCAAGGTCAAAATACATCATTCTCACGAAAACGTACGACCTTGAGCCGGGGGGGGGGGGGGGGGGG